AAGATTTTTTTATTTTTCGGGATTTTGTGGATTTCGTGAATAGTTGCGAATGGTGTGGTTTTCAATGATGGAGCTTGAATACTGTAACGGTAAGAATATAATTATTATGTGCATATTGTATGAGAGCCTTCTCCCTCAGGATCACCCACGACAATCCAAGTTTGTCAGTCACAAACTTCTCCCTTCGAAGCAAAATATACTTCACTAGCCGCTCCTCAATTTTCCCGAACTGGGAACTTCTGTTGCGGACTCCCTGTGGACCAGACGGATTAGCATCGGCGAGTTTGCCGGCTTCAGCATCACTCAGCCAGCCGCGGAACATCGCCTCCAGAACATTGTTCAACTTCGCAAATTTTCGAGCGGAGGTTTTTCCACTCTCACGATAGAGACGAACCAAACGCAGTCGATCAGCCACTGTTCGCTGGACTTTCGTTTTCTTATGAGAAGGCATCGTCAAGCAAAGGGAAACGAAGTGTTTACACGACGAAAACAGAAGTGCGTCTTGTCAAATCCCTACCAAAACGGCAAAAGTAACGGAACGTCGTTACTTTTCTTTCTCGATCATGCCTTCATATCGATCAACGGATCATGGCTTCACGCTGTGGTAGATCTACGTCTCGTGTACAGCAGTGTACTGTGTCAGTCAGTGTAGACTACAGACAGTGTACCGTGCGCATGCATATGCAGCTCAGTGCTTGTACGCGTGTTCAGCACACATGTCCATATGCAGAAGAAAAAATGACGGCTGTACATATGCATGACGTGGTGCATAATGTAAGTCACGCACTCGTGGTAAGTCACGCATTTTCTATTCCAGGACACTGTGCGTGACTTATCGCGAGTAGACTGTACTGTAAAACCAGAAAAGTTCGGTGGAGATTTACTTCAGTACGGGCAATTTTTACCTAAAATAAAACACGACCTAAAAACCAACCCTGCCATGCCACACAATGTGCAACAAATATTCCACCGCCGAAAACTCCCGGTTTTACAGTGGAACTGAACAAGTTAGTAAAAGCCATTATTCTAACGAGGCGCATATATAACGATTTCCCAAAATTGACTAGTTTACGTGTACCAAAGGTAACGATTCTCACTCATTCTCAACGCTCAATAGGACAGTATATGTATCGATTTCTGTATAACGATTTCTATTTTAACGACAGATTTCTCCTCGTTAACTCGTTAGAGTTAGCACTTCGTTATATATATATAATGGCTTTACAGTACCCATGTGTGAGTGCTTCTCCGGATTTGTGGGCGTGTGTCTCTCTGCTCCATATTCTGTCTCCCCAGCAATTGCCTGTCCAATGCCTCCACCGGTGACCAATGCCCACAGTCTGGCCCCGGTAGCAACCGGACAGCGCAGTGCAGTGGGCAGCACGGTCAACTACACATGTGATAATGGCCACGAACACATCACCGGCGACTTCCAGCTTGTGTGCCTGGACGAGGGACACTGGGGCGGCGTTGCTCTCACCTGCAAACGTGAGGACATTCTCCTTGCTCATAGTAGGCAACAGTCTACACATACTTCCTGGCTATCCGCTGTCTTTTTTTCCCGTATCTCAGGCATGTTGGACACTAAAATTTAATGCGTCGAACTAGTTTGGCACGTGTACAATACAGAACCGCTGGAAGCAGTTTTTGATTGGTCCGGCTTTATCACAGCCTTTTTAGGGGGCCATCCGTAATTATCGATCTTTTTCACGAAACGAAAAAGTTTAGTTATGACCCACCCCCACCTACCCCCCCCCCCCCCCCCCCCTGAAACGAAAAAATTAATTGACTTGAGACTTTGTGCAGAAAATGATCTTGATTGGCTGTTACAACACACACATATCCTTTGCATGCAAGCACTGTTAACCCTTGACCGGCAAGTAATAGTTACTTTTGTATATGAAATCCATAACATTTTAGAAGGATGCCAATAACTCACAGGGAGGCCACATTTTGTATGATTGTGCAAGTCAGTTATGTTTTCTTGGAAGTCTGGTACTACCGGTACTTCTTGACCATGGAAACATTTATTTTCACCTACCACACACATACGCTGCTAAATAATTGGCACCTCTACTTCTAAACACGGTAATAGTACACATGCAAATCGTCAGAGTTCAGACATTGACATGATACTGCCAAAACAAGTCGACTTCGGAGCGGAAACAAACGCCATAGCTATCACAGACTTCAGTGGTCGTGCCTCGCTCGCAAATGAGAGCAGCATCGCCCCAGAATCGCTGTCGGAAAGCTCCGTAAGGCCGCAGACACGCCGCGCTGCGCTGCCGTCAATCAGGTACGTAGAAAGTCGATGGCCTAAATTTCCCTCTCTGGAAGACTGTCGACACGGGGATCACTCTCCATGGCTTCCCCACCATAAGCACGATCAGATTCTTCCAGGTACATTACGACGACATCGTCTTCAGCGGCTGGCGCTCCCCATATTTGCGTGAGAATTTACTTGGCGTGCGCCCCGCTCTGTAATTTGAAATGTTCTTGCATCGGCGGCTGGAACGAAGTATTTATCCATCTGTCGTCGGTCCCAGAGCGAATGATGACTGCTAGGTCCTCGTCGGAGAAGTCATCCAAGGCCGAAAGGAACTCACGACTGCACTGAGTACAGAGTGGTATCAGTGCATCCATAATTACGGATGGCCCCTTACAGGGTATATTCTAGGACGAATTTCCAACCGGTTACGGTCCAATGAAGAGTCGTCCGGGGTCCTCCCCCGGAAATTTTTTTCAAGATACAACCCAAATATGGCACTCGACAGCAATTTAACAGATTTCTTGGTGCTGGAGTGTAGCAAAGATATAAGCAGAGGAAATGGACTTTATAGAGCCTGAGGGTAGGGATATCACAGAAGTGATTATGCCAAACTAGAAAGCATATTGGAGCACTACAACGTCAGCAAAGTCTACAAAGTGAACTATGAATCAACTCAAATAAGCTTATCACACAAGAGAGAATTTTTATTCAGTATGGCCACGCCAGATGTAACCAGGGAAGTATGCCGCTCATTTAGCGGGCTTGGAGAAAAAGGAAATTACTTACCGCGGTACCGGAACTTACTTGTGGAAGTGTGATGACGGCTAAAAAGGTGTGAAAGCGATGTCGCGCGGAGCTGTTGGACTGTAGCAACGCCGTTGCTACAGCTCAATGACGCGGTTCGACCGTACAAACCGTACAAACTCGTGACCCTAGTACCAGCCCACGCGGCTTCGCTGGAAGTATCCGTCCAGAAAAAAGCGTTTGACCATTCACAGCTCCATTCACCCACAGAAAAGTACGGGCGGTTGGAACTGATTTGTAACTTTTCAACCGGTCGCCAACAATTTCAACCGGTCGAAAACCGGTTGGGGGCGGTTCTAGAAAATTCCCTGCCTTATACAGTTTGTGTATGATATAACGGGTACACATAGCCGCTTTTTAGAACACGGAGGCTCCACTGCAGCCAATTCATATTATGACCAGTCACCACTAGCACTACACAAAGGTCGTTGACGCTGCAAATTGTCAACGACCTTTGTGTAGTGCTAGTGTTGACTGATCATAACACACATAGCCTCCTCAGTACAGTAAACACTAGGTTGATAGCCAACAAGTTGGTCCAGTGATGGCCTGACCAAGCGGACTGGTTCCGGCGAGCGTGACACTAGTATGATTGTATCATTATGTGCGCTGACTTGACCCACTCGACTGTGATCGGTTTGCCGTGCTCTTTCTCGGAGTCTTTTTGAGTTTTCTTTGGACCGGTCAGATAATTGTAGTACTGAAATTCTTTCTAAAAGAGACATTTTGACTTTTCGAATGCTCATAAAGCTCAGCCAATTCAGTCACAGAGTAACTGGTGAGTACTATAGGGACGGGGCGAGGGTACTATAGGGGACGGGGCGAGGGTACTATTGGGGACGGGGGTACTATTGGGGACAGGGCGTACTATGGGGAATAGGGGTACTATAGGGGACGGGATACTATAGGGGATGGGCGAGGGTGCTATAGGGGACGGGTACTATATAGGGAGGGGTTCTCTAGGGGGTACTATAGGGGACGGGGTACTATAGGGGAGGGGTGTACCAGAGAAGTCACAAGCACTGTATACCTGTTTAGAAAGTAGTATGCACTCCTCTCCTGGCAACTCGCAGCCCAATACGCTACATTAAATACGCTACATTAAATACGCTACATTAAATACATTTTCTAAGCACTCGCAGACTCCATTGCAGCCATTCACACATTATAGGGTACCTCACTTCAAACTCTCCAACTACGGTCTCTTCGCTGCATATGTTCACTTCACTTCCAAAAAAAACAAATAATATTAGATATAAATTGAATGCACCAAATTTTCGGGCATGGCCCATCTTCAGGGTGAAAAAGAAAACCATTCAAGTTGAATGGTTTTCTTTTTCACCCTGAAGATGGGCCATGCCCGAAAATTTGGTGCATTCAATTTATATCTAATATTATTTGTTTTTTTTGGAAGTGAAGTTGAATGGTTTTCTTTTTCACCCTGAAGATGGGCCATGCCCGAAAATTTGGTGCATTCAATTTATATCTAATATTATTTGTTTTTTTTGGAAGTGAAGTGAACATATGCAGCGAAGAGACCGTAGTTGAAGAGTTTGAAGTGAGGTACCCTATAACATTAAATACACTGCATTTTGTTTGTCGTTGAGGAATGCTTCGAAAACGTTCCCAGGTCTTGGTAATAGCCCCCTCAATGTGGCTCATTTGGTCCCGCAATCCATCCTGTATGGTTTGTGTGTTGTGTGCATGACTACTCATGACTCCCACTCAGGCAAAGACTGCGGTGCGGCACCAGCTGCCCCGGCCGACAGCATAGTGAACGTCGATGGCACCCTGTACCAGGACAATGCCACGTTCCAATGTCGCCACGGCTACGCCAGTGCGTTTGCAGGCACCGGTGCACAGGTGATCACGTGCAATGCCAGCGCTCTCTGGAATCAGCCGCCAGCACTCTGCATGCCCCGGCAGTGCCCGAGCTTTAACACCTCATCTGCACATGTCATGACGTCACCTCATGATGTCACCAGCGTTGACGTCGACGCGTCCGTTGCCTTGTCATGCCAACCGGGATACGTGCTGCACGGATACTCACGGTGGAAGTGCGTGACAGATAGGACTTGGCTGGCCGACACGTCATCTAGTGTGAATGCTTCCAGTCTTACGCATGATGCAGTGCCAGCCACTCAAGTCAACAACAACACACAATCACCAGCATGTTTTCGTAAGTGTGCCTGTCATTGTGCATGATGTCATTTACATGATGTCTTTGCCGGTAATGTCATTGCCCAGGGCATTATTGCCCATGAATCCCACAATGTCATTGCATATGATGCCCTTGCCCATGATGGCATTGCCCAACGTGCTCTCAGTCTCAGTGCCTCTCATGTCCACTCTACTTGTTGCAAAATGTCTGGAAAGTACATGCTTAGTCCATGAAGTGCCATGAAGTTGTGTTAACCCTTTGCCGGTCTAACTCAATGTATGTGAGGGGTGGTCACGCAAATACATGTACACACAACCAGCAATAACTCAAGAACCATGTGATGTAGGTATGGGTAAACCATTATTACAACCCAGACTGAGACAAGGATGTTACCGGTATGTATAATTCTATTCACAAAAGCCAACAACGAGGAAGTCACTTCAAGGACTCGGAAGACAGAACAACAAGGAAAAGGGCAAGGAAGCACAGGTTGGCCTGCGTGCATGCAGAGTCCTAGTGACGTCTTAGTGACGTCAACACAAGACATGTACATGGATATCACATCCCTCCAACCCTAGATGAAACAAAGACTAAGTAAACAATAACAAATAACAAATCACCTGTAGAAACAGTAACACAAGACATGGCGAAATATAGCTGTAAACACAGAAATAAGACAGCAGATCTAACTGCGAGTAGCTATGATAGAACTGTTACAAGTCCAAACGGATGGGCGCCTGAACAGCTCTAGTTGAGCGACGCGGATGAATAGCAGGAGTCGACCCAGCTGACTGCGACTCTGAAAGTGTGACTGATTCCTGTGCTGGAGGAACTGGTGAGGCAGATACGGCCGTTGGTACAGAATCAACTGAAGGCTGTAGTTCGGATGCGTCTGAATCCGGCACAGATGATGTCGACACTGGATGGCTCAGAGGTTGACCAGATGGAACGACAGCTGGATATGCGGTTGTTGCCTGTTCTGGCGCAGCAACAGGTGGCTCCTCGGCCGGCAATCGCGGGCGGATGTGGTCACTGTGCCGTTTCCACAATCTGCCATCGGGTAGGCGCACCGTAAATGTGGCTGGGCCTAGACACTCTTCAAGAACTCCATCCATCCATTTAGGTGAGCCCGCAAAGTTGACACAGGACACAGGGTCGCCACAGCAGAAGGACGACGAGTGAGCCGGGCGGCGGTCTACGGCTGCTTGCTGTCGGCTGAAAACCTTCTTAGAAGTGTCCGGAAATGTGAGGTCAAGACGGGACCGAGGCTTATGACCCATCATGAGTTGGAATGGAGATTGACCAGTAGTTGATTGTGGTGTAAGGCGATACTGAAACAGGAACCGATACAGACGGGATTCCAAATCAGAATCACCAACAGACTTCTTCAGCGCATTCTTGACGGTTTGTACGGCACGCTCAGCTAGACCGTTGCTGGCTGGGTGGTACGGAGATGACCGGGTATGCTTGATACCATTAGCAGAACAGAATCGTTGAAATTCGTCGCTGGTGAATACTGAGCCATTGTCGGAAACAAGTTGAAGCGGCAGTCCGTGCGTTGCAAATGTCTGACGGAGCTTGGCAATAGTTGAAGCCGAGGTTGCAGACGATACCGGGTGGACTTCAATAAACTTACTGAAACTGTCAACGATAACCAGGAGCATCTTGCCTTCAACTGGACCTGCGTAGTCGACATGTAGACGCACCCATGGTTTACCTGGCCATTCCCAGGGATGTAGCGGCTGAAGGGCTGGTGACTTCTGAATGGCTTGGCACGGTTGGCAGCTCTTGACCTTGAGCTCTATCTCGTCGTCAATAGATGGCCACCAGATGTAGCTGCGGGCGAGGGCTTTCATCCGGGTTATGCCCGGGTGACCTTCATGTAATTCTTCCAGGAGCGTCTCACGGCCTCTTGGTGGAATAATAACACGTGAGCCCAGCAAAAGACAGCCACTTATTACTGAAAGCTCATTACGACGACGGGAATACGCTTGATAATCCACGGGGATGTTGTCCGGCCAACCTTCTTGGACGTACTTGAGGACAAGTGACAGCACCGGATCTTTGCTCGTCCATTGAGCAATGGTGGTGGATGTGACCGGAGTGTTCTCCAGGACAGACATCGACAGAACGACTTCGGCTGGTGTTGGGACTTCTGGTACCGATGAGGGTGATGGTAGCCGACTGAGTCCATCAGCATTACCATTGTTGCTGCCCGACTTGAACTGAAGCTGGTAGTCGTAGCTTGCTAGTAGTAGGGCCCAGCGTTGGATGCGACCACTGGCCATCGGCGGAATCGGACGATCTTCCTGAAATAGACCAAGTAGAGGCTTGTGGTCAGTCTGCAGCACAAACGAGCGGCCAAATAAATACTTATGAAAGCGCTTGACGGCGAACACCATAGCCAGGCCTTCTTTCTCGATCTGTGCATATTTCTGTTCCGCTGAGGACAATGTTCTCGATGCAAACACGACTGGATGCTCGTCTCCGTCCGCAGTGATGTGTGAGAGAACGGCACCAATACCATACGGTGACGCATCACAACTGACGACAATTGGCATCTTCGGGTCGTAATGTACACGGCATGGTGCTTCTAGTAGCATGGCTTTGCTTTTCTCAAAAGCAGACTGTTCACAGTCAGACCACCGCCACTGCTTCTTAGAGAGCAATTCGTACAGGGGTTTCAACACAGTACTTAAGTTCCGTACAAACTTGTGATAATAGTTAATCAAGCCCAAGTAGCTTCTGAGCTGCGATACGTTAGTCGGTGCCTTGGCGTCCAGCACATCTTGCACTTTCTCAGCTGTCGGCGTTATTCCGGTTGAATCAATGATGTGGCCGAGGAAAGTGACAGATGAACGGCCAAACACACATTTGTCCCGGTTCAAGCGCAGACCAGCCGATTCAAGACGCTCCAAGACCATTTTGACATGGAGGTCGTGTTCCTCTCGTGTTGCGCCAGATATGAGGATGTCGTCCAGGTACACTACGACCATTGGAATGTCGGCCAACAGCTGCTCCATGGTGCGCTGAAAGATACCAGGTGCAGAGGACACTCCAAAAGGCAAGCGATTATACACAAATAGGCCTTTGCTTGTGTTGATAGCCGTGAGAAGCTGAGACTGTTCGTCTAACGGTAGCTGCTGATAGGCCTGGCTGAGATCTAACTTCGTGAAGCAGCATCCTTTATTCAGTTTCACATATAAGTCTTCTATGTTGGGTAACGGATACTTGTCTGTCTTGGATGCTTGATTAATGGTACACTTGTAGTCGCCACAGATGCGTATCTGGCCATTGTTCTTTAGCACTGGCACAATCGGTGCAGCCCAATCGGTACTCTGCACGGGGTGAATAATGTTCTCTTTCACCAGCCGGTCCAGCTCCTTCTCCACTGCCGACTTGAGTGAATAGGGAACCGACCGTGCCTTCAGAAATCGTGGCCTCACGTTACGGTCCACTGCCAGCTTGACACTGCCATGTCGCCAAGTGCCCAGGCCAGACTTGAATAGTTCCGGATGCTTGTCCAGGATATTCTTCGGCATGTCACCAGTGACGTTGAAAACTTGGTTCCAGTTGAGCCTCAGTTTCTCCAATGCGTCCCGACCTAGCAGATTGGGTCCAGTGCCTTTGACCACATAATAGACCAGCTCAGCCTTGCGTCCTCCGTGGCTGGTTTCGCTTCTCACGCGGCCTACCGTTGGGATGATCTTGCCGGCATACGTACGTAGACTGGGTAAGTCGTCAGTTTCCAGCGTCAACTGTTCCTTGGAAGCCAAATCATGGTAATGCCGTTCGTTAATCACAGTAACTGCAGCCCCGGTGTCGATCTCGAATACCATTGGGGTGCGGCCAATGCGAACAGTGCAGACATACGGGTCGACAGTACTGCTTACATGGCTGATACACACGGTGTGGTGCAGGTCTGGACAATACTCCTCACTGTTTACTGCCGAGTCTGATTCCCCCGCGTCCGGCGCTGGATTGTGCACAAAGTGTACCTTGTCCTTGGCTCTGCACACAGATGCGAAATGGCCCTGCTTGTGGCAGAAATTACACGACTTTCCCCAGGCAGGGCAGCTCTCTCGTCTCTCGTGCCATTGTCCGCCGCAGCCAGTGCACTTGCGGCCAGCTTTGGGAGGCCTGTCGTTGTACGAACGCGACTTCAGCGATGATGGCGCGGACCGAAGACTGTGGACGTCTGTAGTCCTTGAGGCCGATGTCAGCTCTGCAGCCCGCGCATCAGCGAGTTCCTCCGAAGTTGCCGTGGCTAAGAAATCAGCAAATTTCTTGTCGTTCGCCATAGTCAGCAGTTTCTTCGTGATGGATTGGCCTCGTAGCCCTTGCACGAACTGGTCCTTTAGTGCGCGATCCAAGTGGGAGTCGAATTCGCAAGTGGACGCCAGTCTCTTCAGGCGATTTGCAAATTCCGTGACAGATTCCGTTCCTTGCCGGCACTGATGGAAACGATAGCTTTCCGCCACTAAACTCAGCTTCGGTTGGAAGTGTTTCTTGAGGAGATCGGCTATCTCATCGAACGTTTTAGACGTTGGCTTGTCAGGAAAGCACAAGTCTTTCAGCGTCGAGTAGGTAGCTTTACCCATCAGCGCAATCAGGGCAGCCGTTTTGACCTTTCCTGCAGCAGTGACGTCGTCTGCATCGGTGGTAGCTGCCACTCCGATTCTATTTGCGGCAAAATAACACTCGAGACGATCCAAATAATCGGAGAAGTTCTGGCCGTCAAATGGCTCCATTTGGCAGAAACTGGAGGCCATGGCCATCGTCTAATACTTTTATCTTCGTCGCCAATTATTACAACCCAGACTGAGACAAGGATGTTACCGGTATGTATAATTCTATTCACAAAAGCCAACAACGAGGAAGTCACTTCAAGGACTCGGAAGACAGAACAACAAGGAAAAGGGCAAGGAAGCACAGGTTGGCCTGCGTGCATGCAGAGTCCTAGTGACGTCTTAGTGACGTCAACACAAGACATGTACATGGATATCACAACCATATATTTTCAAAATCTGTATGCCTGAACGTGTCCAGAAAATTCAAATATGACTAGGTCCAGGCAAGGATAGGGCCCATGGTAGCCCTTCAAGTTGAGAGAAAATACAATTGCGAATGAAATACACGAATATCACAGCACGAAGGGCATACCAAGCTCGTGATGGAGCTGAAGTCGTACGATAAACAATCAGGTAAGGGCTACGTCTTTACAAGAAATGTAGGCTCTCTACAATACCGCCATTGAACACCAACACCTCGCCATCGGCGATACGCCAGCAGCAGCAGCAATTCCCATTCCACGATATCGCAGTTTCGGTTTGTTCATCTCAGCGCTGCTCGCGTCAGATTCACTCTCGCTCAGATGAGTACTCAGGCGCGAGCTTACGCATGCCGTGATTCTCACGGCCAGGCGAATCAGCTGATCGCACCTGATGAGTCCTTGTGACAGTCGCTGTCGCCGTGTCGGCAGCAAGAAGGCTTCCTCTCTGTGTGGAGAATTTTGTTTCTTCACTCGTGGACGATATATTTTTGAACTAGCAGGACTCAACGGAGCTCTTTTTCTCAACACACTACAGTCAACTTCGCTAATAACGACTGCGGATATAATGACAATTCGCGAATAACGACAGAATTTCCATGCCCAGAGCAAAGTCTCATCCCACTGTAATACATATAATGAGACTTCGCGTATAACGACACTTCGCGAATAAGGACACCTTTTTGGTGCCCCGCCGAGTGTCGTTATAAGCGACGTTGTCGGTACACTGCAAAACCTCCCGGGAGATCCAGCCTGGACTGGTGATGTTACTGCTCTCAGAACGCTTGTTAAACACGGCCCCAAGAGATGCACTCGCATTCTCGAAATGCGCACATGGCGGATGGTCGTCTTTTCCAATTTCAACAAACTTCAGTCGATCGATACGGCAAAAATTTGTATGGAAAGCATGGTTGTTTTGTACATCGTCAGAAAGCCTTGGACCTCAGCTACGCGTAGAGCGCCATTTTAGCTGTCTCCTAGCAACAAGACCCCAAAAACATGAGGGCCAAACGTACCGATACTATAGTATCGGTTCGCTTATGGTAGACTGGTAAAGGGTTAAATCACCGGCAATGTGCAGCACACATGGCTTTGATGTAGCTATACTGCTAAACCTCTTCTTTGAAATTGATTTCTACCACACCTCCTCTCCGCATACAGTCACAATGTGCATGCCGTAAAGTTCCGTGAATAAGCCCGGGACGTATACAGAACAAGGGTCTGAAAACTGGGCGTATACTTGGGCATGGGCGTTATTCCAGCATTTTCATAAGAAAAAATGTCCCTGGTTTCGCTCTTGTTTCTCTGCAGTGGTGAAATGTGACACCCCGCCGGTCTCAGCCAATACCGTACAGAACCTATCCACCGTCAGCAGCATGTACAGTTATGACCACGCCGTGCTCTTCCACTGTATCGCCGGCTATGAACGTACAGTGGGCAGCTACCAGCGTGTGTGTAGTACCTCAGGTCTGTGGACAGGGGAAATGCTACAGTGTCAACGTAAGTACATAGCTAGGGACATAGATAAGAACACATAGATAGGGGCATAGCTATGGACATAGCTGGGAACATGGCTTAGCTATCATTATATGTCCCTAGCTGCTAGGGACATAGCTAGGAACATGGCTTAGCTACCATTATATGTCCCTAGCTGCTAGGGACATAGCTAGGAATATGTCCTGGCCATATAGCCGGACTGGTCGAGTGATGGCTTGGTTTGCGTTGGGACAGGGGGATGGCACCAATGTGCTGTCGTCAAAACAAGGAAAGGAAAAGGAAAGAGCTGCCCATCCCCAACCTTGCTTCGCTGGTATACTGAGAATCCCGTGACTTTTTCCTTTTCTTTTTTACGAACTTCCATACTCCAATCGTTTTGTCATAGTTATGATGAAAAGAGGAGTGTCATGGTGGTAGGGCTTAGCACACTTAGTCGATATGAGATCTCGACCTTAATATATGCCCAGTGATGTACGTCTCCTCTCCGTGCTGTCTCCACTCTTTAACATGTCTCCACTGTTTAAGTATTTAGTATGTATTGTATTTCAAGGAATACCCAAAGGCTCTAGGCCTGTCGAGGGAATCTCCTACTCAGATAAATTTCATGATTCGGGAAAGAGTATAAGTACAAAGAAAGAAAACCAAGAAAAGAAGCAGACGCAGCAACTGCGCAAGTCAAGGTGTCGGTATGAATTAATTTAATGTTTCCACTCTATTCACCGTTCCCACAGCTAAACAATGTCCGGTCATACAGCGCACCGGTCGTGTGATAGTGGAGCAGGGTGACATTGCCGTCACGGGCAGTAACCTGACTGTGGGCGCTACCCTGCTCCTGGGCTGCCCCAGCGGGTACACACTGCATGGGTATGTGGCATGGACGTGCGCTGCGGAGAATGTCTCGTGGGTGGCAGCTGCACCGCAGAGCCTCACGAGCGCTGCCGCGTTCGTGACCATGCCAGACCGGCTGAGCAGCAACGTGACAACAGCGAACTCCACGGCGACGTTGTGCTATCGTAAGTGTTCACAAACACGCACTGCTGTCCTTTATGGTCTGTTGCTAGCATGGCCACAGGTATATGGTACTGGAACAATGTATACAATGAACGTCCGGTTGGGTGGGGTGCGTGCGTGCGTGTAAGGGGAGGGGAGAGAGGGGAGAGAGCTAGAGGGGGGGGGGGGGGGGCTCTAGGTTTTTCTAACCAATGAAGGCCCCCAGTTCATGAGTGCTTGTTCGGGTACATGTAAGTGGCAATCCTCAGAAACATAGCTGGCAAAATTGTCTGTCTCCTATGCTGTACATCCTGCGTTCAGTGCTACGTTCACACTATTCACACACACACACACACGCACGCGCACGCACGCACGCAGCACGCACACACACACAAGCAACTCTCACCAGTCTTGTTTTTTCTTGTGACCACAGCCATCAGATGTCCTCGGCCTCCGATTGCTCCGAACACAGCACAGAAAATGTCAACCGTAAACGCTACTGGATATAGTTTTGGTGACATAGTGCAGTTCTCCTGTGCACTGGGTTATGAGAACAAGACGGGTGATCAGCAACGACACTGTACCAGTACCGGGACATGGACAGGAGAGATGCTACAGTGCGGACGTGAGTCATAATATCATCACTCTCTGAGTCATAATATCATCACTCTTAGTCGTAATATCATCACTCTGAGTTAAGAACTCAGATGCTGAGCCAAGGAAAATTGTAACATTTGCACAATTATGCCGTGGAATGTCGCAGTACTCCTTGTCAATGTCGTGCTAGATTGTGCACGTCTGACTGTTCGAAGTCTAGTTGGTGGACTCGACCACATGGCATGTGCCTACTTGTTTCCATGTTGCACTCTGAGTCAAGGATTCTCCACGGGCATTTAATAGCCCAAATCAAGGAAGTCACCGTAAAAGACGAGTGAAGCTGCTTGGAGAAAAGTGCATTGTTCAAGTATTGCATGACAGTAATGGCCACAACTATAAATGATACAGTCACGAGTGATGATACTGTATGCTGGATCTTGTTTCTGCAGCTGTCACTTGCGGGCAGCCTCCGCTGCAAGAGGGGTTTGCAAGCCTGACATCGCCCAACCCAAGCCAGACCCTGACGTACCAGCAAACTGCGGTCTACACTTGCGACAGCGGCTACTATGCTCTTGCTGCTGTTGTGAGGCAGTGCATGTCCACAGCAGACTTTCCGACTTCCCTGGTTACGTGTCGACGTAAGTTCAGCATGCTAACATATTCCATAAGCAGGCTTGTTGGTTTGTAAATGCCTCCATTCCTGGGCATCCCGTGAACATGCTCTGAGTCTGATCTATTCACCTCCCCCCCCCCCCCCTCTCCCCTCCTCCTCTCCCCCCCCCCCCTCCCCTCCTCCTCTCCCCCCCCCCCCTCTCCTTCCTCCCCCCCCCCATCCTACCCCACCCCACCGCTCTGGGAGCTGCATCTTCATCGTGATCCTTGAAGGTGATGGCGTTCCTACAGATGCGCGAAACTCAGTATCATGTGAAGTCTGCCATGTGTACACAGTGCCCAGCACACACATTCCACACTGCAGGTGTGTGTACACAGTGCCCAGCACACACATTCCACACTGCAGGTGTGTTTAGTCAAGTGATCATTGCGCACCGTACGTCCAGTCTGTGGAGTCTGCTGGAACCGAGGCACCCGGTTTTTGAGACAGCAGTGTAGCTGGGCTGAGCTACTGCTAGTAACCCCATTCTCTGTCTTGTCAGTGGCCTGTTTGCATGGAGAGCTCCTTTGCTTCCAAATGGGGAAACAAAGTTTGTTTTTACATGTTGTGTTTGGTGACCAAGCTGTAAGCTGTTTGTGTGCATTCCTGAATTTGTCTCTAAATAAAACGTCTTTCCTGATACATTCTCTGCCCTGTCCCTTTTAGGGCAAACGTGTCAACTGGCTCGTGTAGATAACAGTGACAAGCCGAGCTCAAAGTTGACGTATTTTTCTCGGGATTTGGTGGAAGTTGTCTGCGCCAATGGCTATGTGCTGGCCGGCACACAGACTACGACGAACATGACACTGACTTGTGAAGCAGCACCAGCCATTCAACCGACCGGAGTCTGGAGCTCAGAGCCTCCGAAAGCATGCGAACGTAAGGCAATCATATGCGTGTGTCTGTGTGTGTCTGTGTGTGTGTCTGTGTGTGGGTGGGGGGATTCACTGGCCAGAAAAAAGCCACTTCAAAGCTGTGTGGTGTAGACCAGGCTGAATAGTGGTGGTCAATTCTTCAGCCTTGCAAGCTGTTGAATGGTGCAATCCCAGCACAAGTTGCTATGGCTTCTGCTGTAGCATCGCTATCATCGCCTCTGGCGATGGGCGTCCAATGGTCAATGGTCAATGGGTGGGGGGGGGGGGGTGAGTGTGTATGTGTGTATGTGTGTATGTGTGTTTATGTGTGTATGTGTGTTTATGTGTGTATGTGTGTGTATGTGTGTGTGTGTGTATGTGTGTGTGTGTGTTTTGTGTGTGTGTGTGTGTGTGTGTATGTGTGTGTGTGTGTGTGTATGTGTGTGTGTGTGTGTGTGTGTGTGTTTGTGTGCCCAAGGAGGCAGTTTGAAATTTTTCTGCTCCTGACTTTTTCTTGTTTTTCGAGTACTTTTGGGCGAAAGAGAGGCCTGGAGCGACCCCTTGAGGGTTGTCTCCAGGGCCAGTACGTAAACAGTGAGCTGCCGACGACGGGAGCCACGTAGCAGGAGGACGAGGCGAGTTTTTTTGATACCGCCACCTCTTGCTGCGCCCGAAGTCGCCACTCGCGGTGGTGTGACGAGCCCCCGAGTGGAATATCTCCATCCAGCTCCGAAAAGCTATGAAGTACGTCAAGGAGAGGGAGAAGAGTGGGAGAGAGGGACGGCGCTGCTTGACGTTTGGGTCGTGGAATGTTCGCTCCCTTGTGGAAAGGAGTGGCGGCGTAGCTACGGCGAGCGTTTCTGGCCGAGTGGCAGGGGACAAGAAATGTCGTCGTGTTGCTGCCGAGCTGCGCAGGTTGAGCGTGGCGGCGGCTGGATTGCAGGAGACACACTGGTTCGGCGATGACATTTATGTCGTTGACGGTTTTACTATCTTGTGTTCGGGTCGCCCCGTGCCTGGCGATGGAGCTCCGGGCAACAGACGAGGAGAAGGAGTCGCCCTGGCACTCAATAAATTTGCAACAGACGCGTGGAAGAATGGTGGTTCGGTCTGGCGGGCTGTGGGCCCTCGTCTTGTCACTGCACGTCTCAAATTCGCCCTGCGTGGGGGAGAAGTCGCATGGGTGACGGTAGTCAGTGCGTATGCTCCGACTTATGCAGCTCCGCGTGCCAGCAAAAATCAGTTTTACGAACAGTTGCAGGAGGTAATAGCTGGCGTTCCTGACAGGGACTGCTGTATTCTGCTTGGAGACTTCAACGCCCGTGTGGGTTCAGGAACAGCTGACGATGGCTGGAGTGGTGTGCGCGGCATGCATGGTTTTGGACAGTTGAATTCCTCTGGAGATGAGCTACTGTCGTTTGCAGCAATAAATAATTTGTGGATCTGCAACACCTGGTTCCCCAAGCGGGATATCTTCAAGCGGACGTGGCAGCACCCCGGCTCTCTGCAGTGGCACTGCATCGACTATATCTTGATGCGTCAGGATCATCGGCGATTTTGCAGGGACGTGCGCGTTGTTCGTGGTGCTGAGTGTGGCAGTGACCACCAGCTGCTTTGTATAGTCTTTGAGTTCCCGCATCGCCCGGTGGGGGTTGCCCGACGTGGAGCGAGCCGGGGGCGCCGATTTAATGTCGGCAAGCTGCGGAGTAAGGCGGTGGCCGAGCATGATCAATCGGATTCCTGCGCATCCACGTTACAAGACGTCAACGATGTGGGACGTCGCCCCCCGCGCTGCGTGACCACCGCGGACAAGTATCGTGCCGCTTTATCTACTGGATTGCGAGATTGCTGGAGCAGCGATGGTAGCGTTGGGGAGAAGTGGACCCATGTGCGCAATACCGTGGTTGCCACAGCCGCTGATGTATTGGGCCCGAGCGAACGCCGTCAGGCCGACTGGTATGATGACAACTCTGCAACCATACAGCCCCTTCTGCGCGCCCGCAATGAGTGCTACGCGGAGTGGCTTGCCCACGGTCAGCAGAGGGGCGACACGTATTGGGCCAGCTTCGGGGCTGCTCGATCGCAAGCGCGCGCAGCCGTTGTAAATGCCAAAGAGGCTTGGATTTTGAATAAGGCACAGGAGGCAACAGAGGCGCGCTTCAACGGGGCAGTCGTCTGGAAATGCGTTCATGCTATCCACGCTGCATGTGAGGGATTAACTCCGTGCAAGACTTCCGCCATTAAGGACGAGAATGGAAACCTGTGCCAGTCGACTGAGGATCAATGCAAGCGGTTCCAGAGGCATTTCACATCTGTCCTGAACCCAGAGAGCTCGTACAACCCCGATATCATGGCTTGCGTTGAGCAGCGACCTGTAGTGTCGAGCCTTGAGGAACCACCAACCATGCATGAGATCTCCAAGGCCATTTCTCGACTTCGCAATGGCACCGCTGCTGGTTCATCGAGGATACAGCCAGAGTTGCTAAAGTTCGGTGGAGAGGAGCTCAACAACAAGCTCATGGAGCTGTGTGGAGATGTGTGGCGAGATGGCTGCGTTCCGCGGGAGTGGGCGGATGCTACCCTCATCCCCATTCCAAAGAAGGGAGATTTGTCGCAGTGCGACAATTGGCGGGGCATTGCGTTGCTGGATGTGGTGGGCAAGGTCTTGGCGAGTGTCCTTCAGAGAAGGCTGCAGGTATTCGCGGAGGAATTTCTCCCTGAGTCCCAGTGCGGGTTCCGGCGAGGGCGTGGCTGCTCTGACATGATCTTCACCGTCCGACAGCTCATGGAAAAGTCAATCGAACATCAGGCCAAGGGATTTTTTGTGTTTATCGACCTGAAGAAGGCCTATGATTCAGTGCCCAGGGGGTGTCTGTGGCAGGTCCTCGGCCGTGCGGGAGTACCAGAAAAGCTTAGCAACATCATCCGGTCGTTCCACGACCCCATGTCAGCATCGGTGCAGTTCAACAACATATTATCAGACCCGTTCAGCATTGGCAATGGTCTTCGCCAGGGGTGCTCTATGGCGCCGGTCCTTTTTAATATCTTTATGTGGGCCGTGATGACCCAGTGGCAACACCGCGTCAGGAGAGTTGACGGGGTTGGCTTCGAGCTCCGCTCAGCATACAGCAGCGATTTATACCGTAAACCCCGCCGTGACGACCAACACCATTGCCTAACAGATTCCCAGTTTGCTGACGACTCTTGTTTATTCGCTACGACTCGGTCTGGAGCGGGGGCAGCATTGTGCTGTCTTCACGAGGTGGCGTCGGGATTCGGCTTGACCATCAGTGCAACGAAGACTCAGTTTGTAGTTGTTGGCCCCGGCATCACGCTTACTGACCGCGCTCCCCTCCAACTTGGTCAAGCGGAGGTGGAATGCGTACCGCATTTCAAATACCTCGGTTCTGTAGTGGACAGCGGTTGCCGTTCGTCCCGGGACATCGCCGCAAGGATTGCCCAAGCCTCCAGGGCCTGCGGTGCTCTTCGGAGGTCTGTATTCTCCAATCCACATCTGCTGATGCACACCAAGCGGTGCGTATTCAATGCTTGCGTTCTGTCCCTGCTGTTGTATGGCTCTGAGTGCTGGACGCCCCTTCAGCATGACCTGCAGAAGCTCTCAACCTTCAGCATGAGGTGCATCCGATCCATCCTCGGGGTCTCTCGAAGCCGAATGTGGGACGAACACATCACCAACGAAGAGCTGCTGGTGCGCTGGGGAGACTCCGAGACGATTAAAGACAAGATTGCACATCGGCGGTTGGAGTGGTTGGGGCATGTGGCGCGGATGCCGGACAACCGCATCCCAAAACAGGTACTGTTTGGCTCCTTCTTGCAGCGTCGCCCAGCACATGGCCCACGCCGCAGATGGAAGGACTGCGCTGTCCGAGATCTACGTGCCCGTGGCGTGGAGGCATCATGGTATGATGTTGCATGTGAGTCTCGCGCGGAGTGGCGCAGCACCTACCAAGAGCCTGACAATGTGCCTGGGCCTCCGCCCCGAGTGGTATGTACGGTATGCGGACGGGATTTTGCACGGAAAGGAGACATGGCTCGGCATAAGTGTCTGGAGGAGCGTGCGCGGCCTGTGTCTGAGCAGCGGGGCGCCAGTCAGTGCGGGCGGTGTGGGCGGTGGCTGAGAAGCCGCGGTGGCTTGGTCCGGCATGTGTGTGCCTCAACGGTGGATGCCGCAGTGCCACCTGGAACTACCGGAGCGTCGGCACCGGCGGAGGGATGTTGTGCCGCGCATTGTGACAGGTGTGGTCGCTGCTTTCGCGGTGTCCGGGGACGGGGAAGGCATCGCTGTTCAAGGGTGGCTCATAGACCAACAGCAGAGGAGCGCTCAGCCTTCCAGCACGTGTGCATATGCGGCAAGCGGATGCGACTACCCGTGCACCTGGAGCGTCATCGAGCGTCGTGTCCTCTCTCTCTCTCTTCTCAAGTTTCCCAGTGATGGGATCACGTGACCCTTTTGCGGCAGTGACTCTACAGGACAGGACAGGTGTTTGTGTGTGTGTGTGTGTGTGTGTGTGTGTGTGTGTGTGTGTGTGTGTGTGTGTGTGTGTGTGTGTGTGTGTGTGTGTGTGTGTGTGTGTGTGTGTGTGTGTGTGTGTGTGGTGTGTGTGTGGGTGTGTGTGTGTGTGTGTGTGGTGTGTGTGTGTGGGTGTGTGGTACATGGTGTGTATGCATGCGTGCATGTATGTGTGTATATGAATGTGCGTATGTGTATATGAATATGTGTATGTGTATGTGTGTGTATGTATGTGTTTATGTGTTTGCGTATGTGTGTGTGCGCACATGCATATCATAGACTATCAGATCTACTCATCTGTGTCTGTCTCTCTGTTTAACCATTGGCGTAGAATGCTTCCTTTGCCCGGGGTACATACATGTACACACACATACAACGGGGGCAAAATGATGTGTAACTGAAACTTCAAGTTTCACGCATTTCGGCAATCGTCATCATGATCATCGGAGTGAATGCTAAACGCTGCTGTCTGATGATCGTTGAAATGCGTGAAACTTGAAGTTACAACTACACACATGGGTGCTGGAGGGAAACCCCCTAGCCGTGTTGAGTCGTGGTTCAGTGCAGCTTTCAGTAGCTGCACTGAACCATGACTCAACACGGCTAGGGGACTCCCCTCCAGCACCCAGTCTGCACTTCAAAAGCCTGTACCTGGAAAGTACACTGTGTATTACGTAAGTCGCCATTTCTACCTAACCCACTCACACATGTACACCCTGTCTACCTAACCCGCTCACACATGTACACCCTGTCAAGTTCTCATAGCCGCATTGTGTTCCTGCTCTGCAACATTCCTGCACAGGTATCGACTGTGGCAGGCCGCCCGCACCACCGGACAATTCCGAGCTACTGTCCAATGACACTCTGTACAACGACACGGCTACGTACGTGTGTGCCAATGGACACGGTGTCCGCCATCGGCCATCGCAGACCATCAGATGCATGGGCAACGGCCAGTGGGAACCTGTCAACATTTCATGTCACGGTGAGAGTTGTATAACAGCAGCCCTGGTGACAGCCTGAGGGTCTATTAGCCCGGGGTTTATTAGCGTGGGGTCTATCCGCCCGGGTCCATTATCCTGGGGTCATTTAGCCCGGTGTGCATTTACCTGGAGTCCATCCGCCCGGAGTCTATTAGCCCGGAGTCCATTAGCTCAGGGTCCATTGGCCCTGGGTTTACTAGGCCGGGAGTCCATAAGTCTGGGGTCTATTAGCACTGGGTCGCAATAATTTATAGTGATTCCCCCAGCTTTGTACAGTCTGTGGGTAGTACACTGTGCGAGTGAGGAACCTGAACTCAAAAACTCAGCCTCGTAGCCTACAAGTCGCTCGTTCTTATGTTCATGTACGAAAGTCAATGCACAGTTGAGTTTTTAATATCGTGTATGCATCAGCATGCTATGCTTGGTTAAATCCTAACCTAAATCATTCTTCGGCGCCCGACAGCACTGTTTGGCCATGGCTGCCTTCAACCAATTTGCTATTCTGCAGGAATATCTACAGTGAAAGTGCAGTACAGTCAGTGCTCGCTTATTAAGATTAACCGCACACATCCGTTTTCCACAAAGATATCCGGACAGGCAAGGGAACCGGATAATCGATTACACATACTGTATATACAGTCAACTTGGCTTATAACGACACTCGGCGGGGCATCAAAAAGGTGTCCTTATTCGCGAAGTGTTGTTATACCCGAAGTCTCATTATATGTATTGCAGTGGGATGGGACTTTGCTCTGGGCACGGAAATTCTGTCTTTATTCGCGAATTGTCGTTATATCCGCAGTCGTTATTAGCGAAGTTGACTGTATGCATGACATATGCTGTGAATGGGTAACCAACGATTTTCTTCCGGGTGGTGGAGGATTCGGATAAAAGAGGACCGGATAAGCGAGGTCTGACTGCATAATGCACTTGTAAGGGCCATGACACCAGCACTACATACTGTGTACTTGTCTTGTAGGTCAGTAGCCAAGGTAATGTTCTAACCAAGGTGGTCAAATGGTTGGTTAACCCGTTATACAGAGGGATCACTTTGGCTGTGGTGAATTTCAACTGCTATGCGTGTGCGCGCGTGTGTGTGTGTGTGTGTGTGTGTGTGTGTGTACGTGCGTGTGTGTGCGTATGCGTGCTTGCTCCATCTGCACATGTGTGGTCATGTATTTGCATGTATATATATGTATGTATGCCTATGTGAAACAATGTGCCCCCTACCAGCCGGTAACTGTACTGCCGACACAGACCCATCCAGCGTGATAGTCAATCCACACTCAGACGGCTACACTACACACGAGGCGATAACGTACGTGTGTCGTGAAAACGAAGGCTACACGTCCTTGCCTGGTCAGAGCAACTCACTGATATCCGTCTGTGGTGTCGATGGAAACTTCACCAAACCTCCGCTGGTTTGCCATGGTAAGTAAATCCCTGTTGCCAAACTCATTGTTCATAGTAGAGAGGAAGAGAGAGGGAGAGGGAGAGGGAGAGGGAGAGGGAGAGGGAGAGGGGGAGGGAGTTACTAAAGCTTGACACTTGTTCCTGTATTGAATGCAGTATTGCACGTGATTTCCTATGCGATCAGAAGAAAGCACTGACAGTGATTTTCAGCACCCACCATGCCTCAAACTATGGGCCTTGCATGTAGGACATAGACAATCTCATTCTGATGGCTGAGCTGCATTGTGTTTGCCATGTACTTGTCGTGTTGGTTTGTGATGTCTCCTCACTGTAGGTAATGTACCTTTTTTCTTTGGTTGTTTGGTTGTTTGGTTGTTTGGTTGTTTGGTTGTTTGGTTGTTTGGTTGTTTGGTTGTTTGGTTGTTTGGTTTTTTGGTTACATCATCATAACCCTGATGATAGGCCAGGCCCGAAAATTGGTGAAATGTAAATCTTAATTTTAATTTTAATCCCAGTGTTGTAAATGCGTTGAAAAGGTCTCCGTTGCACGTCCTGAAATCTCGTCACGACTTCGACTCCTTGCCTGTTTTCCTGCAAGCTGTTGCTGCATGCCATTGATTTAGTCTAATTGATTCTGTATTAGGTAACTTCTCTTACCTGTTGGTCTTTGGCCACGAGTGTCGTCTGAGTAATTATGAACATTGCGTGCGTTTGCTAGTAGAGTTCACGATTTGCTAGAGTTACTTACGTGCTTTGTTACTATTCTCCCTGAGTGAAGTTCCGCTGCTGAGTAATCCTACGATGTGTCACTATCTGACAGGGTTTACTCTCACCCATATCGGGTGCAAGCACCCACTGACAGGTGAAACCCTTCGGCTTCCCATACGTCTCTTTCCTCTTTCCTTTCGGATTAATTATTGTAGTTTGAATTTCTATTTGTTTATTTATTTTGTGTGTGCGTGCACGAGCCGCTGCCATGTTTCTGCAGTCGTGTATACCGTCATACGGTCATCTCACGCGTGCACGATATCTGGCTTGCCTTATTTGTTGCGTGTTTGGTACGCTGAGTTCGCTTGGGTCGCCGTGTGTGCACCGGTACTGGCACGTTTTGCTGATGACAGCGTTTTGAGTGGTTTTGTTCCTTGGTTGTTTCCTTTGGTGTTTTTCGTTGTTCTCTCAGAGTCGCAATAGCTCTCTTACCCGTATACCCGTTATGCATTCTATTCTATCATTACTGTAATGTTTATCTATCTAAACTCGTAATGCCCGTGGTGGTTGAGACTGAGAGTGCTTGTGTGCGGTACGCCTGGAAGTCTTGAGTGAGGTATCGTTGAGATACAACGCATACATAAAATTTGGCGATCACGCCAGGATAGTACTGCACTGGAGCGAGGAGCAGGGCCGATGTATTCGGCTGGGAGTGTGGAGGCAACGTTCATTGCGAACGGTAAGGCCTATGGTTATACTGGAGAGAGTCTGCGGAGTTACGTGGAGAGCAGGCGGGTCGAGCATGCCGAGCAGATCCAGAAGAGTGAAGAGCGCAAGGCTCGAATGGAAGAGAGAGACAGTACCAGGCAGCAAACAGAGTTGCTGGACAAGATAACGAAGTTAGAGGCGAAAGTCGAGTTAGCGGCTCAACAAGATGACACAGCGAGCAGTGTGTCTGCGGAGAGCGCTCAGGGGCTGAGAGCCAAACCGATAAAAATTCCGAAATATGATGCAAAGCAGACGGTGGAAAGCTACTTGGAGCTATTTGAAGACGTGGCCAACCAAAATCAGTACGAAGTCGAGGAGCTACTGATACGCCTACGAGTGGCCCTGGCGGGGAGTAAGCTGGAAAGTGCCTGCTATGGTTGTGAAACCTTTGCCGATGCCAAGCGTGAGCTGTTGACGGCATTTGGCAAGACGGCGGACAAAGCCTGGCAAGCCCTCATCGCTAACACCCAGAAGGCAGATGAGAGCTTTTACCAATTTGTCGTGCGAGTAAGTCGGGACACTGAGAAGTGGCGAAAGCTCGCAATGCCAAAGTCTGAGGACAGTCATCGCGGTGGACGCGATGAGAGTGGGCTATTTGCAGCCATGGTACGGCAAGTGATATTGGAGGCGATAGGTCCAGATATGAAAGCATTCATGATCGAAAAAAGGTGCTACGAGAAGGACCTGAAGGCATTCACTGAGGACGGCATGGCCTACCAAACCGCCCATGGCCGTAAGTCACTGAAGGTGAAGTCACCTGAGACGCATTACATCACACCTCAACATAGTGCCCAGTGCTTGGGAGTTTCCGTCGAAGGTGCTGAGAAGGAGCTTGCTACGCTTGCGCCGGTGGAACGCAGATGGTTTGTAGCCAGGGAGAGGCTGTGTTACAATTGTCTGAGAGTGGGCCATCAGGTCAAGGAATGTCAGTCTAAGACAAGGTGCAAATGCGGCTCCAAACACCACCCGCTGCTGCACTGGCCATCCGAAACTAAGCCGCCTAGGGGCACGGACAGCGAGGGTATCAGAACGTATAGCTGTACAACGTCCGCCGGTGTACACCTCATGACTGGAGTGGCAGAGGTGTGTGGATCAAAACGAGCTCGTGTCAGGGTATTCATTGACCCAGGATCGCAGGCTTCGTTTATTTCTGCCTCCCTAGCGTCAGCAATTCGACCATCCTGCCTGAGCACAGACGAAGTCAAGGTCACTGCGTTTGGAACGGAGCCAGTAGTACGGCAACTGGAGCGTCTAGAGGTAGTCTTGACGGGAACCTCGCGGGCAATCACGATCCGAGCATGGAAGAACGACGACATGAGGATGAAGTTCCCCCCAGTTGCAAAGTCCACAATCCAGCAATGGCAAGCCAGTGGAATTGAGCTCAGTGACCAGCCTAGTGAAGGTATACCCAATGAGGTACACTTGTTAATCGGTGCGGATCATTGCAATGAAATTCTCAAGGAGAAGAAGGTGGTCAATGGAGAAACCGCATGGAGCACAGAGATCGGCTGGGTCTTGTGCGGACCTACGAAGAGTTCCGTCCCAGCAGCTACGGTGAGTGTTGGCTGCATTGAGCTTGACCGGCTTTGGCGGATGGAAGAAGTTCCAGAGCGGTCAGCTACAGCGCTACCAGACTTTCTGCTGGAGAGAGAGGGTCCCAGCTACCAAGTTGGCCTTCTGTGGAAGGCAGAGAAGCGCCCACCGGACAACCTTAACCAAGCTATGGCAGCCGCGCAAGCATTAGTACAACAGCTACAGCGTAAGGGCAAGCGTCAAGAGTACGACCGCGTGCTCCTTGAAGAGTATGCGCAGCTGGACGCCATCGAGAAGGAGGAGCATCCAGAGGAGCCAGGCTATTACATGCCACACCATGCAGTATTTCGCAGCGACGCTACCACAACCAAGACGAGAGTCGTCTTCAACGCATCAGCGTCGAGATCAGGAGAGCAGTCGCTAAATGACCTGGTGGATCCAGGACCATCCCTTCTGCCAGATTTGGTGGGGCTCTTGCTCCGTTTCCGTGAGTACCCAGTTGCTTTTCAGGCTGATATACGGAAAGCATTCTTTATGATAGGAATGCGGCCGGAGGACAGGCCATACCTCCGGTTTGTCTGGCCGGAGATAGGGCAGGAGCAGATGTGCATTTGGCGCTTGAAGAAGCTGCCTTTTGGGGTGAATTGCTCACCTTTTATTCTGAGTGCTGTTCTGCGCTATCATTTAGATCATGCTTTAGGCTCTGCTTCTGCTGAGGAATGTGCCATTATTAAGCTTCTCTTGCGCAGCTTTTATGTTGATGATTGCGTATCTAGTGTGCCTTGCTCTGCTGATGCTGAAAAGCTGCAGGAATACAGCATGCATATGTTGCAGGGAGCAGGCATGGAGTTGCGGAAATGGCGGGGAAACACGCTTCCATCAGACCCAGAGGCAGGTAGCAAGGCGCTAGGCATCGTGTGGGCGACCGAAGAAGATGTCATCTCAGTTGCTGATCTGGGTAATGTCGATGCCCCAAGTAAGTTTGGCTGGTCCCGTCGTGCGTTGCTGCGCTGCGTCGCTGCAGTGTATGATCCTCTTGGTTGGGCATCACCCGCTATTTTGCCTGGCAAGTTCCTGTTGCAAGAGTGTTGGAAGTTGGGTGGAGGATGGGATGACCCCCTACCAAGCAGTTTGTCCGTGCGTTGTGCCGAATGGTGGGGAGGGCTGGCAGATATCTCTGCAGTTCGCATTCCCAGGTGGCTCGGTTGCCCAGTTGGGAAGCCTGTCTTCTTGCATATGTTTGCAGATGCATCTGAGAAGGGCTATGGCTGTTGTTTGTACGTGGTGACTGGTGTTGTTTCCTCTTTGTTGTTCGCGAAAGCAAAGGTGGCACCTGTGGCTCGGCCTACTCTCGCTCGTCTGGAGTTGCAAGCGGTGTGCCTTGCCGCGAAGGTGCTGTCATTCGTTGTCAGTGAGCTGAGGATTCCGATCGAGCGGATTGTTGGCTGGACCGACAGTCTGACTACTTGGCATTGGATCTCGAAGCCGTCGTATCAGTGGAAGACGTATGTCGCTAATCGGGTAGCAGCTGTGCAAGAGGTGTCGCGGAAGTTGCACGTAGAATGGCGTCACTGTCCCGGTGTGAGCAACCCAGCAGATCTTGTGTCCCGTGGTGTTCCGGTGAGTGGCCTTCAGACAGTGATATGGTTGCATGGCCCGCCTTGGTTAAGCGAGGAGTCTGAGTGGCCACAGTCGATTTCGTCTCACAGCACGCAAGAGTCCGTCATTGAAGCACGCGTAGCGGCAGTGAATACAGTCAGGCAGTCAGTTGTTTGGCCATGGGAGAATCTTTCGAAGTGGCAACGGGCTCGTGGAGTTGTCGTGCGGATGCTCCAGTGGAAGGAGCCGGCAACCCGCGCTGAGCTGTTCCCTAAAGCAGAAGCTTTCTTGTACCGGTCCATCCAACAAGAGTGTTTCGCGGAGGAAATCGCTATGCTGAAAGAAGGCAATTCCTTGCCTCCTAGTTCTCGCTTGTACAAGTTGTCACCCTTCCTCGATGACGCTGGGTTGCTGCGGGTCGGCGGCAGGCTGCAGGAAAGTGAGCTAGGATATGACGCTAAGCACCCTATCATCCTAGCGAAACATCATCTGACCGAGCTCTTGCTGGAGATGGTGCATAAGCAACGATTGCACCAAGGTGTCGAGAGCGTCCTTGCCTTTCTTCAACGCAAGTTTTGGATTCTGTCTGGGCGTCGCCTGCTGAGAAGTGTTACCGAGAGATGCTTTGCTTGCCGTTGGTTCAAGGCCAAAGCAGCAGCCGAGGTGGTGGCGCCCTTACCAGCAGACCGTGTTGAACATCAACAGCCGTTCGGCCTTACAGGCATAGACTACGCCGGTCCTCTTTACGTCCAAACGGGAGAGCGGTCCGCAAAGCGATGGGTCGTGCTCTTTGTATGTGGTACCACTAGAGCAGTTCATCTGGACATGGTGGATAGTCTGTCAACAGAAGCGTTCCTTCTGGTCTATCGCAGATTCGTCGCGCGGCGTGGGAAGCCTTGCAGAATTCGTTCGGACAACGCTACGACGTTCAAGGCTGCCGCGGAGAAGATAGAGGTAGTGTGGAGCTTCAACCCACCCGCAGCACCCTGGTTTGGCGGGTTTTATGAGCGCCTGGTCGCTTGCGTGAAGACACCTCTGAAGAAGGTGTTGGGCAAAGCGCTTCTGAAACCTGAGGAGCTGGCCACAGTCCTGGCGGAGATCGAGGCAGTGGTGAATTCGCGCCCGCTTACGTCCGTATCAACGGACATCGGTGATGACATGGCCTTGACCCCAGCCATGATGATGGGAGATGTCTTTGCACCAGGGGCCCCCGAGGTAGAAGACGGCCTTACAGCTGCACAATTATCGGCCCGGTTCAGTTACATCATCAATGTCAAGGAGCACCTGAGGAAGCGGTGGCGGGAACAGTACTTGGTCGGCCTCAGCAGCTACCAGTCCGCCCAGGCCCGTCCGATCAAGGCTGGCGAGGTTGTCCTGGTTGTTGACGACAAGAAGAAGCGGCACCTTTGGCGCCTCGGTAGAGTGATAGAGCTGTTCGCTGGTCGAGATGGCAAGAGCCGAGTAGCACGGGTGAAGATTGGTAACAGCACCATGCTCCGGGCAATTCCCCGTCTGGTTCCGTTGGAAGTGGCTAGTGAGCCCGAGCAAGTGGCTAGTGAACCGGAGGTGCCAATCGAGCAGCTGGCAAATACTCCAGCGGATGAACAGAGTGATCCCGTCTCAATCCCAGCAAGTCCAGATGTGGGGCAACCGGCTGAGCCACGAGAGTCACCTTGTTTGAGGAGGTCTAGGCGGGCCGTCAGGATCCCAGCTCGTCTTGACTTGTAGTGTGCGAAGACCTTTGGTGGGGAGGATGTTGTAAATGCGTTGAAAAGGTCTCCGTTGCACGTCCTGAAATCTCGTCACGACTTCGACTCCTTGCCTGTTTTCCTGCAAGCTGTTGCTGCATGCCATTGATTTAGTCTAATTGATTCTGTATTAGGTAACTTCTCTTACCTGTTGGTCTTTGGCCACGAGTGTCGTCTGAGTAATTATGAACATTGCGTGCGTTTGCTAGTAGAGTTCACGATTTGCTAGAGTTACTTACGTGCTTTGTTACTATTCTCCCTGAGTGAAGTTCCGCTGCTGAGTAATCCTTCGATGTGTCACTATCTGACAGGGTTTACTCTCACCCATATCGGGTGCAAGCACCCACTGACAGGTGAAACCCTTCGGCTTCCCATACGTCTCTTTCCTCTTTCCTTTCGGATTAATTATTGTAGTTTGAATTTCTATTTGTTTATTTATTTTGTGTGTGCGTGCACGAGCCGCTGCCATGTTTCTGCAGTCGTGTATACCGTCATACGGTCATCTCACGCGTGCACGATATCTGGCTTGCCTTATTTGTTGCGTGTTTGGTACGCTGAGTTCGCTTGGGTCGCCGTGTGTGCACCGGTACTGGCACGTTTTGCTGATGACAGCGTTTTGAGTGGTTTTGTTCCTTGGTTGTTTCCTTTGGTGTTTTTCGTTGTTCTCTCAGAGTCGCAATAGCTCTCTTACCCGTATACCCGTTATGCATTCTATTCTATCATTACTGTAATGTTTATCTATCTAAACTCGTAATGCCCGTGGTGGTTGAGACTGAGAGTGCTTGTGTGCGGTACGCCTGGAAGTCTTGAGTGAGGTATCGTTGAGATACAACGCATACATAAAACCCAGTGAAGAGACCGTTTTTTGAGTTTGGAGATCAGAAGTGAAGTTTCCTAAATGTGCAAGTGGTTGCGTTGGAGTTTGGAGTTGTGTTGGAGTTTGGAGACAATTAGAAATGTTTTGGTTGACTGTTGGTTTATTTGTTTCACGCTAGCTCGGAATTGCTCTGTGGAGGAGATTGCCAATGGCGCTAGTAATGCGACAGCAGCAGCCCCAGGGAGCCGCCGCAGCATTGCCGTCAATCAAACGGTCATGTTCACCTGCAGCCGGGGCTATCACATTCTGTCCACGTCCGACAGCGCTCACGAGGTCGTCTCCGAAAGCGGTCGCTGCGGCGTCAACGGCAAGCTGCATATCTCACTGCCAGAGTGTGTGGGTAAGTGTAGAGAATCCATGCTATGTATCATCCTATTGCTATGTATCATCCTATTGCTATGTATCATCCTATTGCTATGTATCATCCTATTGCTATGTATCATCCTATTGCTATGTATCATCCTATTGCTATGTATCCTATTGGCTACTTTACACATGCTCATAGCTCATGCAGAATCCGGGACAGGCGGAAGCAGTTTTTGATTGGCCCGGCCATGCCATAGTCTTTTCTTACGTTGTGTATGATTATAGTGGATACACATGACCTCCTCAGCAGTAAACACATGTTGCTGGCCAAAACATTGGTCCGGCCATGGCCTGACCAACCGGACCTGTTCCGCCGATTCTGTTATAAGCCAAGACCGGTCAGCACACCAGCAAATGGTCGTGATAGGCACTACAGTACAGGCACTACAGTACATTTGTAGGTGCATTGTACTCGATTATGGCAAAAATGGTGGGGCTATATAATATTTGTATTTTATTGTATTGAACGTTTTTCGCCCTGAGGATGGGTCATGCCCGAAAATTTGGTGAATTCAATTATTTATATATTTTGAATTCACGTGTGCAGCGAAGAGACCGTATTTGGAAAGTTCAAGTTAAGGTGCCGTAATTATGTATTGTATTGAATTTACTTTACTTCGGTGACTCAACAGTACTATGTACTACTACAGGTGGAATCCTGATAATTCGAACCTCAAAATGCCAGCAAAAAACTTCTAATTATCCGGACATTCTAATTATCCAAACATGAACCCACAACACAATATGTATGTTAAAATGCTCTCATGGTCACGCAGAGTTGCACTATGGACCATAAACACAGATTTCACGGACACTGAGCTGACCGGCACAGCATGCTCATGCAAACTGAACTGACCAGTACAATGTACAGTGAACTTCGAATTACACTTTGCTGACTTCGAATTATCAGCACAAATCCCACGCATTTTCTATGTAAGTGGAATCTGTGGGACTTCTAATTAACCGGACATATCCAGTACGAGCTTCTAATTATCAGATTTTTTATGTGGGAATCGTATTGATAGAAATCGGTCCTGGAAAAACTTCTCATTATTAAGCGGGTATGTTCGAATTAAGCCATATTCGAATTATCAGGATTCCACTTGTACAAAGATGCCTGAAAAACCGATCATGAGGAGATAAAAGGAAAAAGAAGGAGCAAACAAAAAAACTAGATGAAGTGAGAAAGAACCAACATGAGGTTTCCGGTGGTCACTACACCATAGATGTATGAGCTTTGCCTCTGGTCACAGAGGCTATACAAATGACATAATTGTACTATACTGGGGATGTACAACTGATGTCATTGCGCTGTACAGGGGCTCAGCAATGTCAGCATGTGTACGATGATGTCATTGAACTTTACATGGGTTGTGCAAATGGTGTCATCGTGCCAAAGAAGGATTGCAAAATGACGCCATTGTGTATGCATTGTAAGGAGCATAAACCCGAGTTTATGATGTCATTCCATACAAAAACAATGCTGATGTACACGTAATCGCATTCGGTCGTTCTGTTCTCACTCACTCTCTCTCTCTCTCTCTCTCCCTCTCTCTCTCTCTCTCTCTCTCTCTCTCTCTCTCTCTCTCTCTCTCTCTCTCTCTCTCTCTCTCTCTCTCTCTCTCTCTCTCTCTCCCTCTCTCTCCTGACACATCACTGCATTAGATACCAATGAATGTGACCAAGCTGACACCCACAACTGTACAGCTTCACAGGTGTGTATTAACAGCGTGGGCAGTTTCTCCTGCAGCTGTAGACCTGGCTTTGACTGCGCATGCAGTAGCGATACCCCCAGCCAGTGCCCTGCCGGCTCAGCGTGCAATGAACGCAACAAACGGTAAGACACTTTCTCAGACACTGATGCTGTGCTTGCCACTGTACATGTAGTCTCTCGGTGTTTGACCAATCTGGAATCTGGAAGATCTGTTCAGCCGTCTGCCTTAGAAGCTACACCCGACCCCTGACTCTTGGGGAGCTGGTGTTGGGAGCTGGTGTTGGGAGAGCTGATGACGGGAGGTGGCATTCCTACAGATGCCGAAAAAGTCAGTCTGATCAGCTCTCACGTGAGGCATGGCAACTGAGGTATTGATAAATCGGTATATAATCTGCACACCCCCCCCCCCTGCCTTCCCCCCTGCCTCCCCCCTGCCCCCCCCCCTGCCTCCCCCTGCCCCCCCCCCCCTGCCTCCCCCTGCCCCCCCCCCCCCCCCTGCCTCCCCCTGCCTCCCCTATTAGGAATTTAACACAGTGTCGTTTCATCTCCAAGTACGGTTGTGCTCGGTGAAATCCGACCCTGAGTGCATATTTGGCGCCCTCGACTTCCACGGCCCTGTTCGTCCTGGCCGCCGGGGTACGAATACCGCTAGGCGTACATCTATACAAGTACAGTGATGTAATCGGAGGTGGTCCAGGACATGAGTTTTCGCAACTGGTCCAGGACATGAGTTTTCGCAACTAATCCAGAACATAAGTTTCTTTTTTTCTGAACTGGTCCACCACACAAGTTTTCGGAACTGGTCCAGGACACAAGTTTTCGCAACTGGTCCAGGGCACAAGTTTTTCACTTTGGGTTGGATTTCACCCAGCCGGCAACACCGGCAACACTGGCAACACTGCTCTTTAGAAATTCCAGCCACTAGTTGATAGCCCACAACGACTGACCTACCTGCTGCTAAAAAAACGTGTGCGTCTGATTTATGCCGGTTAGATGTGAATTGGATTTTCGGTCTTTGACCACTTTGCGGTGGGTGTGATCTACACACATCCCGCCGCTTTAGGAGCTGCATCTGCGCCTTGATCCTGGAGGGTGGTGGCGTTGCTATGGATACGGAAAACTGGGCCTCCAGCCGAGTCTCACACGAACCGTGAATTTTTTTGTTTTGTTTTTTTAGATGTGAGTGCGACACGACTGCCAGCTTTGCTCTGAACAATGGCACGGGGACGTGCGTGTTCATCGGCAACCTGACCGGCGTGGAGTTCTCCAAGGCAACCGACAACAGCGCTGCCGCCGCCTTGATGCCCGCCCTCGGCGCGCTGGGAGCCGTGTGTGCCATCACCATCATCATCATTATCGTCCTGATCGTGCTTATTCGACGGGTGA